AGTATAACCTGAGGCCTTACAGAAGGAGATACACATACACATACACAGAAGGAGTTAGTCACTACTGAAGGATTAGTCTGCTTTTGTGTGTGTGTGTGTATAAACTGCAGCTATTATGTTTTTTTTTTTTTTATTTGCTGTGCTTTTTGTTAGTTTTCGTACTATTAGGATGTACTTTTCTGTCTTTCTCCTTCATTTAACAAATGATACATGTGGTTGTTTCATCAACTGGTTAAAACAAGATTTGAATGAGATCAGAACTGTGACTTAGATCAGAAATTGTCCAACTTTAATATGTGAAGGGTATTGTAGGCAAGGGTGGTTTAGTGAGGACTTGTGCCTCTTACCTGACTGCATTAGGCCAAGAACCTTCCCTGTAAAGGAAGCTGGGAACTAAGCTACATCATCTCTGTGTGAGTAAAGCATTGCTCCATCCGGTCCCTGTGCGTAAGTCATGTTTTTGTTGAGGATCTTGGACCTTGGTTCAACAGTTTGACGCAATGAACAAGATTGTGACAGAGGTCCAGTTAGTAAATATTTTTGAGTTTGCAATTTGTGCAATCTCTATTACAGCTACTCAACTCTGCTGTTTTCTTGTGAAAAGAGTCATAGATAATTGGTAAATGAATGGATGGAACCTCAGAAGGCAGAAAGCGATGGGAATGAAGGACGAATAGAAACAATAAACACAGAGAAGTCAGAAGAGTGCTGTTACATTGTGGGGATTGCAATCAGTATCACAAAACAAAACGTGTGTGAATTATTGAGTGGAAAGTCACTGTGTTCTGTCAACTTTCACCCAAATCACAATAAAAAGTTATTTAAAATAACTTCTTATTTAAAGAAACAGAAACAACTTATGTATAAAAACTGACAGCAGTAGTGGTTTGCCAGCTCTCTAACATAGATTGTTATGTTGGGCTCTCTGTTTTATACTCATCTGTAGCCACTTTGGCCCGGTACAGATGTGGAGGTTATGTGTTTTGAGGGTCACCAAAAGCCTCTTTTTTTTTTTTTTACCCTAATCTTTCAGGGAAAAATGGCTTCTGTGAACTATGCTGCTGGAAATGCCAGCCATTAAAATCCTTTCTCTGGAAAAATCATAATGTATTCAGAAAATTCAGAAACGGTACCTATTCATATGTATACTCAAGTGGATGCTAGTTTGATTTCCTGTAACCAGAGATCTGGAATTACAAGGAAATGAAACAAAGGACTGATAATGTTTTGTGATAGAAAGAAAGGACAGTCCTGTAGCTTGGGCAGCAGTAGTGGAAAGCTCCAAGTGTAAGAAAGAACTGCTTATGTGGGAGGTAATAATAACAACCAGGCTGTTGGTAAAGCTATGTACCTTACATACCGTCTCCTTCCAGCAACACTATGCATGAGAAACAATTCTGATTCCCATTTTATAGACCAGGCCAAAACCAGAAAAAAAACAAACCTACTGCCATGAAGTTGATTCCAACTCCTGACATGATCCCAGTTGGGTTTTCGAGGCACTAACTCTTCACTGCCTCCTTCCATGGAGTGGCTGATGGGTTTGATGTGCCAAACTTCTGGTTAGCTGTCAAATGCCTTAGGCATTGCACCACCAGAGCTCCTTATAGACCAGGACACTGGAGTTAAATTTGTGTGTCCAGCATCACTTGGTTGATAAATGGCATAGTTGTAATTTATATTCACGTTTTGATGTCAGAGGGTTTTCACAGCTGTGATCTTTCAGTCGCAGATCACCTAACCTATCTTCTGAGATGCCCTGGATGGGTTCAAACTGCCAACCTTTTGCATAGTAGTTGAGTGCTTAACTGTTTGCACCCATACTTACCTGACACTTATGTAATGTTTTTAACTTCCCAAGCACTTGGGACCTACCTAGACATAGTGTAAGTAAGTTTTCTCTACAGGCAGGGGAAAATTGGCAAGGGACCTTTGTAGATACATAAACCTTTTACTCCACAGTCATTATCTTCAAGCTCTGGGTGAAGTATAAACGTTGTCTCAAGATGGTCCCCAAACAGCGAATTCATTTTTGTACTTGGTACACATATCGTAGTCTCAGGAAAGTGACATTTAAAAATCTGGCTTTGCAGGTATTTAGCTAAAACTACCTTCTGAACCTTGCATACATATATATATCCATTAATTATGCACTCTCTGAAGGAACTTATACCTGTAGTCTTTGTAAGGGGCAATGATCTGCTTGAAACTATTTTGATTTACTGGTTTATTGATATCTACCAAGAATTCTTTTATTTTAAAATTTTCACTTAGGAAGTCAATTTGATAGCCTTTTCCCATTTGTTTCGAAGGTGTCAGTTATAAATAGTCTTGCCAGTGAGTAATGGAGGAGCTAAAATTACTAATAAATTAATTTAAATGTATTTATAAACCTAGTCAAAGCCAAGAATGAAGTTGCTTTCCTATTGATTATTACACTGGTCATTAACCTCTGAGAAAATGTCACTGTAGCAAGCAGAGAATGCTGGCCAATTCCTGTGGTAATTGTAGGATTCCATCATTAAGATTTCAATATTCTAGAAAATAACTACTCATTCATTCCATGTCTTCATTGTGTGGGCAAAGCAGTTGGACATTTTGTGGCAAGGCTTAAGTATATAGGCAGACAATATCTTCTGTTGTGAGTCAGTGTTACTTTAAATAATTTGTGGTTTGTACATTTATTTATGTTGGGTTTTCTTAGATGTTAATATGCCAGTTCTGCATGGGTTTGTCAAGATACTTGAGTTTGTGCTGGAGAGACCTTTGGAAAATTCCTCTCCATAGGCCTGTAGCCTCAGATGCTATAATGCACCAATATTTCTTTCCCTATAGAGCAAATGAGATGAACTGACCATTGCTTTTGGAGGCAGTGTTGGTTCAGTAGTAGAATTTGCACCTTCTATGAGCTCTGGTAGCATAGTGCCTAAGCCATTTGACTGCTAACCAGAAGGCTGGAGGTTCAAACCCACCAGCCACTCCTTGGAAGGAAGGTTAGGCAATCTACTTCCATAGTGATGTTGTTGTTGTTGTCACATGCTGTTGAGTTGGCCTCGACTCATGGCGACCCCTCCTTTGGTTGCCAAGGCAGTATCACTACAGAAGTAGATTGCCCAACCTTCCTTCGTGGGTTTGAACCTCCAGCCTTCTGGTTAGCAGTCAGATGCCTTAGGCACTATGCTACCAGAGCTCCTTCCATAGTGATACCACCTTGGAAACCCAAGGAAGGGTCGGTATGAATTGGATACGACTCTATGGCAGTGGGTTTGGTTTTGGTTTATGTAGAAGACCCAGGTTCGATACCAAGCCAGAACACCTGATGCCCAGCCACCATCTGTTTGTCAGTGGAGGATTGTGTGTTGCTGTCATGCTGAACACATTTCAGTGGAGCTTCCAGATTAAGATGGACTAGGAAGAAAGGGCTGGTGATCTACTTTCAGGAATAAGACAGTGTAATCCCTATGGATCACAACATTATGATATGCACCAGAGTGAGGATGGCACAGAACCAGGCAATGTTTCATGCTGTTGTGTATGGAGTCACCATGAGTCGGGGACATCTCAACAGCATCTTATAACAACAACCATTGCTTTTGAATAAGATGTAGAAAGGGTTGTTTCCCTTTCAACAGCTTTCAGAATTAGGTGCACATTAGCAATGCTGGAGGAAAGTAGATAGCCATCTGTAAATTCTTGGTCAAAGAGTCCTGCTTATCAGTATTCCAAATAAAGTAAAAGAATGTTATGTTTGAATGCCATCATAGAAAACTAATTTCTACTCTAAGGCAGAAAATAAAAAGAGCCAGAACCCAGGCATCCAGGTCTATCCTGTTTCCTCCACAAAGTCTCCCTGCTAGCACCTATAGAAGATATCATGTAACTCAAGGAGAATACTCTTGGTTCTGCCCTATCATGTTGTGAGTTTCTCTGGTTTTGGTGTTATTGACCATCTGAAAGTTGGGAACTTCCACCAGTATGCAGAAGGTGGAGACAATTGTGCTGACAATACCTGACATCCTGTCATTATAACTGACCAGTTGTGGTCTCTTAGAAATTTATACTTTGGATTAAAAGAATCATAAGGTGATCCCACACAAAACAAGAGGATGATCCTAGTTTTAGCAGACCCCAAAGCACCCAGGTCCTTGGATTGCCCATGTGGTATGTGTTGTCTACTAACATAAAGGTTGGTGATTTGAACCTACCCAGTATAAGAAGGGACTGGTGATCTGCTTCCATAAACATTATAACCAAAAGAATCCTATGGAGCAGTTCTACTCTGTAACAAATGGGGTCACCATGAGTCAAAATCAAGTCAATAGCAATGAGTTTGGTTTTGGTGAAGTAAGTATCTCTGCAGAAAAGGAGTTCTTGTTCCCATTTCCAAATAAAATCAAGGCCCAAGGAACAAAGGTTATTTCATCATGGGTACTGAGTTAGTTAAGAAGCAAGTAAAAATGCTATTGATTTTGGCCCAGTATTCTTTCCACTGAATCTTTCAGAAATACTAGTGAGGATACTGATTAAATAAAAGTTCTCTTTGCAGCCTAAGAATGCAGCCAAAGAAAGTCAACAGCAATAGGCAGTATTGGCTAGTCTTTCTGTGCTTAAAAGAGAAAGGTGATAATCAGTTAAATAATGAAAATAAAAATATAAATAAAAATATAAGAATGAAGAATCGAAGCTATATGCAGAGGTACCTATCTGAGCTTTTAATGGATTACAGTGACTTTTGTTATTTCTTTATTGACTAGAGACCAACAGATACAAATTACTATGCTTGCTCTAGAATGTAAGTCCCTTGAGAACAGGGACCATGCCATTTTTGTCTCTATAGTCCCAAAGACTAGTCAAGAAAGACAGAATAACTTCATCTGTTGATATCGTAAACAAAAATGACACTATCTACCTTTTTTCTTCCTGTGCTTTCTAGGCTAGAGGATTTAAGTTTATAGATATCCAGGAGATAATTCAGGTGTGTTCCTTTTTTCTTTATTTAGTTGTGTGTTTTGACGCCAAGATAAACTTTGATGACAATGCAGAATTCCGACAAAAGGACATATTTGCTATGGATGACAAATCGGAGAATGAGCCCATTGAAAATGAAGCTGCCAGATACGATCTGAAATATGTAGGATTGGATGGAAACATTGCTTGCTTTGGTAAGAAGACAGTTATGTCGAAAGAATGCTTTGTGGATGTTTACAGATTGGAGGCACCCCTCATTTCTGAGATGTTATTTCCCAATAGCAAATAAAACATACTCTTATTTTTTTTCCTAGCCACATCGTTTTAGGACGCATTCTGAAGTTTCATCCCCAAATTCATTTTTGTCAGTGATCCTGGGATTAAAGCAGATTTTCTCAACTTTGACACCATTGACATTTTGTGCTAGGTAGTTTTCTTGTGGAGGACTGTCCTGTGCATTGTAAGATGCTCAGCAGTGTCCCTGCCTCTACCCACTAGATAACATGAGCATCCCACAGTTGTGAACAGCCAAAAATGTCACCCAACATTGTCAAATATATTTGGAAAGGTAAAATCGCCCTAGTTGAGCCTCACTGGTCCAAATCATCTCAGTTAAACCTTGCCTGGTAAAAATCAGAAACCTTTACTATTAAGTCACTGTAAATATGCTAGGAACTCTTCTGAAACTTAGATTTAAAATAAAATTGCTTTCTCAGAGGAAGTAGAACAGGACATATACTTGAATCATTATGCCAAAGGTTCAGATTCTATGATATCCAAATGAAAAAATATTTAATCTATTATTCTAGTTTATTAATAAAACAATTGACTTCATCATTTTCATCTAAATTTGTGCAAATGGCCTTTCAGCTGAGATAAGAATGGATCTATAGAGGCAGTACAATTTCTGTTATTATCTACAGTGTATAGGGCTGAGATTTATACTCTTCTGACTTAATTGCAAGAGACTGTGCTTCTTGTAGAACCAATTCATTGTGCTGGAAACTGAGGTCTTAATCTTAATGGAATTAAAATAAAAAAGATTTGTAGCTCATTAAACCAACAGTATCATTATATGTAGAACTGAACAGGCCTCATCCAGTAGTTTGCTGTTCAATACAATAGAAAATGACATCCAATTACAAGTGATACCAAAAGGCCTTGCTTTGTATTGGTGCAATAACCGTGATGTACCCAATCATTCACATAATTCTGATCCTGATAAGCTCATGCAATCTCAGTATTTGTAAGCATTTGGAAATGAGAAAGATATAATGGTATATTTAGAACATATTAAATACAGATTATTTATAGTCTCTGTAGGGATGTGCATGATTTGACCAAGTAGAAGCATCAAAAGCTACAATGAACACTTTTAAAATTGTTTTAAGATCTTACATAAATGGTTTTTATTTTAGTTGCTTGGACTTAATTAAATTAGTCACAGTTCAGAGGCTTACTGGGCAAATTCAGGGTCAGAAAAAGTAAAGAATATTCTACCATGAGAGTTTTTAGTATGGTCAAGAGATATTTTTGCTTTCTACCCTGAGGGATTTTATGTAATTAAGCATAAAAAGCAAAAGAAGTACAATTGATCGATAAAACTTGGCTCTTGAAAACAACAATTGTGATGTTGAAACTCTTTGCTTGGTTGGCATATATTGCTTCTAATTTTAATAATCAAGACGCTAGTGAAAATATTTTATATTAATATGAACGAGGAACAAAGGATAGAAATACTGCTTTTTCCCTCTTTTTATTGTAGTTTTCCATACACATTTTGTTTAATGTCATTAATTGCAATCTGCACAATGTAATAGCTGTCTTTCTACTTCCTCGCTCTGGTTACCTTTTCTCTGTGCCTTCTTTCCTATACATTCTTGCCCTCTGGGCTATCTCCCTGCATGAATGCTGCCCTTCTGATCTCTCGTGGTTGATTGTTTTAAGGAGTCCACCTACCTGGTGTAAATGTTCACCTTGTAGGCCTGTCCATTGTTTGGCTGGAAGCCACTGGAGTGAATTCAATTCCAGCGTGAAAGGTGACTAGGGGCCATAGTCTCAGGGATTTTCAATAGTCTCTATAAGACCAGTGAGCCTGGTCTTTTTTTTTTTTTAAATGATTTTTTACTTTGTTTCTCACTCTCCTGCTCTATCCAGAATTTCCTATTTTGACCCCTCTCCAAGTGGTTGGCAGTAGGAATACTGTTTTTGGTACTGTCATTTGTTCATTTGCTTTCTCAATTTAGCCAGCTAATGTTATATAAATTTGCCTGGTTGCAGTAAGAGTGCAAAGTTTGGCAGCTTACTGAAGGTGGGACCCTTGAGGTTCAATGCCAGAGGCGTGCCAGACTCAAAGGAGCATATTCTCAGCAAATAAAAATTAAAGGAATTCCTTTCTCTACTCAGGTCTCTTAAAGAATATTAAAAAGAATGTAATTCATAGATGCTAGCACCTCCTCACAGACTTTTCTTTCTTTTTCAATTCTCTTTCTTATGTGTTATACTTGACTGAACCTAAAACTCCCTCCTCTAATACTAGTCAGAATTGCTTGTTTTTAAAAACTTTTCCCTTCTTTCTGTTCCCCAGATTGGTTTAACTTTTCAATAAACCTTTCCTGTCAGACACAAGTGTTTTTGGTTTATTATTTGTGTGTGCATTTCCTAGTTCTTTATCCTAAAAGTCTACAAATTTACTTAGTTGAAACAATTCCAAACAGACAGAAAGTGAAGTGGCAATGATAGGGTTATATTTGGACAATAAAGGAGAGGGAAAAGTTTATATACCCTTTCATGTTATTAAAATGTACCCTATCTTGTATACCATTTGTATTTCACAGTAAATGGTGCTGGGCTGGCCATGGCTACCTGTGACATCATCTTCCTTAATGGTGGAAAGCCAGCCAACTTCTTGGATCTTGGTGGTGGAGTAAAGGAAGCCCAAGTGTATCAAGCATTTAAATTACTCACAGCTGATCCTAAGGTAATGTATGTTCTGGTTTGTCACCATCAAGAGCTGCATTATTCATGGTGCTGAGGTTTAATAAGCCAGCATGGACTCTGCAGCCACAGATGTAAATACTGCCTTTGTATACAGTGGAATACAAGATAATTTAATTCCTTGTGGGTGAGAGGTGGATAGACTGCCTGCAGGATCTGATTTCTCAGGCTATGCCTTCCACGTGCTCTAGCAGGTAGGAAGCCATAAAAAAGGTTCAGTGCTCCAAACAGTGAAATGTTGGTTGACATTATATTTCATGTGGGTAACTTATACTAAAATGTTCAGTTCTATGGCTCCTGGACTTAAGTAGGACTTCCCTTGAGATCTTCAACAAAGATTCTGAAGATACTATCATAAATTTGGAGAGGAAAATCCTAGAATTGTAGGATCTTATGTCACTGGAAAATAATGACCTCTTTCTATATACTTTTAAATTTTTATCTTCTACCCTAAGAGTTTGTAGATGTACAAAGTAACGTGTAACTGTTCACAGTTTTATAGTATCCACTGTTGCTTCTTTCATGTACAACATTTCTTCTTAACTAGAATATAGCTTTTTCCATGTGGAACATTTATCATCCATTGCACTCATGTATAGCAGGCATTAAATAAACATTTAACCAATGAGTTTTGTACCCAAGGCAAGTACCAATGTGTTTTGTTTCAACCAGAGGTACACAACTATCTGTGATAGAGGTTTAGTTGATGTTTATTATGTGGAAAAACTAGGAGTTTTTGAATGTCTATTTGCATTCTTCTTATTTAATTTTAATTCTCTTAACAGGCTTGTGAGATAGGTGTGTGCCAGAACAGTTTGCTATTAGGCTTTGTTTGAGAATCATTATTTTGATATTGCTGGTGTAGCTAATATAGTCTCCTGGTTAGTAGCATGTCTGAAGACCCAGTGCAAAAGGAGCAGGAAGGCCGCATCTTCTGACCTCCTCTAACCCACAAGAGGACCGAATGACTAGCAGCAGCCCAAGGCCTATGCCTGTGGGGCCAGATATGCTGGCTCCTTCCAACCCTCTTACTAACCTTGTCACCAGTCGTTCCTCCCAAGTGAAGAATCACATGCAGAGTCTTTTTATTCAAACCATACTCTTAAAAAATTTTAACTTGACCCAATGGAATATTTTCAAATGCATGGAGTGTTTAAGGAAGGAAGATGGAACAATCTACTTCTGTAGTGATACTGCCTCGGAAACCCAAGGAGGAGTCGCGCTGAGTCGGGTTCGACTTGACGGCACATAACAACAACAGAGTATTTAAGCTTGTTTGAGATTGCCTGTCAGCTTAAGTAGATAAATGTTTGTAGGAGTTATTTTATTGACATCAACTAATACACCAGGTGGATAAATTCAACAATCAGCTACTCACGGCAAAGGGAGAGTTACAAAGACTATGGCTAGAAAACCCATATCATATCATTTACTATACCACACCCAGGAAATCCAAACCATCACTAAGAAAATCATGAATAAAAACAGTGCTTTTTTTTTTTAAATAACATGATCTGAACTTAATCTGAAAGCTTTGCATTAATAAGTATACTGAGGCTGTAGCCAATTTAGGTTCACATGCATAAACTTTTGGCCTATATAATAGAGTGCTTGTCTCTTTTCATTATGACTTAGTTGATAACCTCTTGTTTTTTTCTAACTCCTTTTTTTTGGATTCACAAAGTACATGGGAAAATATTACCAGCTAGTTCTCAATTTTCCAAGACTATTCAGGAATAGCACTGTCATTGAAGCCCCAAAATACACAGCCTTGAAGAAAATGTTGCACTTGATTATTATTCTTGTGTAAGCACCTGTTCTCATTGGCTGGGTTGAAGTATTATCAGTGGTTCCCTAATTGTTTATTACTTTACTTATCCCTTCTTCCTACTGTCTTCTAAGGGAAGAGACATTTTCCTCCCTGAGATTCCCAAACCAGTTGAAATCAGTAAATACTATGGACATAACACATAGCTCTTTCAGCTGCTTGAACCACAAAGTGCCCAGAGGATAGATGACAATAATAAAATACTTACCTTTTAGCATTTACTGAAATTCAGTGGTACGAATAATAGAGAGGCATCAAGGGATTGAATCTACCAGAACAATCATTGAGTTTTCTTTGAAATATCTTTTCTTAGTGCCTGACCCAGAATTTTAATTTTGTAAAAGTATAGAAGAGGAAAGAAAAATCACTTGCGGAGCCCTTTTTTTTAAACCATTCTCTTAAAAAATTTTAACTTGACCCAATGGAATATTTTCAGATGCTTAGAGTATTTAAGCTTTTTTGAGATTGGCTGTCAGCTTGAGTAGAGAAAGGTTTGTAGGAGTTATTTTATTTTTCTCATGCTATATCAGGAAAATGAATGCATAGCTCATCTCACAGTACACTTTTCCAGTCTTGAAATTCCAAGGCTGGTTAAAAAAGCATAGAAATGTATTTTGAATCCTGGCATTGTTTCACAGGCTAGGAAATAGTACAGACAAGTTGATTTGATTTTGCAAGGAAACTAGCTGTAGTTCTGGCAGTAATTATTTCAAATAGAAGTCCATCCAGCTAGCCCAGAAATAGAGGTTCCCAAGAGCCTAAAGCTAATTATTTCAAAGGTATTGATTTTCCTGTTAGATGTAAGGATTAGTCAGTTGAATACACTGAAAGTCAAAATTACAAAGAACCTGTTGTTGTTAAACTTAAATCAAATCAAATGATACTAACAACTACTTGTTTGTCATATGTACAAGATAATTCTATTGATCAAGTGAGGCACAGCATCATTCAAGGGAAATATAACAGATTGGCATATATTTGCCAAAATGTCAGCCATAGTGCTGATGTTTTTTTTTTTTTTTATATTTCTTTCCCTACTACCTCAGTTTTGTTATTCCCACAATCCCAGATATCGAGGTTTTTTTTTTTTTTTGGTTTTTTTTTTTTTTATATTTCTTTTGCTTGACTATTTAGCCCAAATATGGAATTTCATTTGCACTAATATATATGTGTTTTAATTAATATGTTCCTTATTTGCTTATTATATATATAAGAAACAAAATTCCTCTGCCAAACTAAGAGTCTTTTCAGAATAGCTCAGTAACTAAACTGGATTCACATGAACTGTCTCATTAAATATTTTACAATTCTCTTATTTTCCAGCTGGGCTTGAAATGAGAGAAAGGTAATAGAATTTGTCCTGTTGGTGGTAGAGTAGATCTGATCTTATTTTCATCATCTTGACTAAAAGAATTCTAAACACTAGTATTCCTGAAATTATAGGGAAGAAAAATCAAATAAAATAGGGAATAGTTATAGGGCTTTGTGGTAATCTGTTAAGAATTTGAACACATTTCAAGAGAAAACATTTTATGGAATGTTATCCTTAGGTTTTTGTTTTCCTGAATTTTACTTTGGCTTTTATTCTGAATTATAAACTTAGAATTCTAAAGGTGTGAAAAGTGAGTACAACAACATCTGGAGTATATAAAATATCTTGTGTAAATGAATAACAGGAAAAGACAGTTGGCATGAATCACAACAGTAACCTCAACTCAGTGGGCCAAAGTGAAGCAAATCTGTTACCTTCTGTTGCTTTCTGATTTTGAAAAGTATATAATTGGCATTGGTGAAGTCTCCTCATTTGAGTTAAGTGTACTTTGTGGGTTAAATCCAACGTAGAGTCATGCTTCCAAAGCCCTTTAAAGTGTCTGGGAAGCAATGTGCCACATGAGCACCAAATGCTAGTTTAAGAATGGAAAGTTCTTCAGGGGGCTCTGTGGCCAGGCTATGTGGGTTCAAATTCCATCTTTACCACTTATTGCTTGTGGAGCCTTGGGCATGTTATTTAACATCTATGGGCCTTATTTTTTTCATTTATAAAATGGAGGTAATAATAGTACTTATCTCGTACCATGTGGGTCAGAGTAGAACTGTGTTCCATAGAATTTTTTTTCTTTTTGTCTAAAATTTTGTTTGTTTGTTTTTTATTGCGATTTGGGTGAAAATTTACAGAGCAAATTCTTGTTTCATTCAACAGTTCATACACATTTTGTTTAGTGACATTGATTGCTATCGCACCATGTAACAGTCTCTTTTCCCTTCTTCCTGTGGTTACCTTTTCCCTATGTCCTTCCCTGTACATTCCTGCCTTCTAAGCTTTCTCCAGGTACATATGCTGCCCTTCTGATTTCCCATCATTGATTGTTTTAAGGAGAGTACCTACATATATAACTGTTTACCTCATAGGACTGTCCATTGTTTGTCTGGAAGTTAAGCCTTAGGAATGACTTCAGTTCCAGGCCCAAAGGGTAACTAAGGTCCATAGTTTCAGGGCTTTTACCAGTCTTCATCAGACCAATAAAAAAACCAAACTCGCTGCCGTCGAGTTGATTCTGACTTGTAGCAACCCCTCCTTGGGTTTCTGAGGAGGTATCTCTAGGAAAGCAGATTGCCCAGTTTTCCTTTCGAGGAGTGGCTGGTAGGTTTGAACTGGCAGCCTTCTGGTTAGCAGTCAAATGCCTTAGGCACTAGGTCACCAGAGCTCCTAGACTATCTTTTTAATGATGATATGTTTTGTTCCTTTGCCATAACGTGTTCAGTGGCTAATTGTTTGGAAGTCAATTGCGAGTCCTTTCTTTTGAGGCACCTCTGGGTAGACTTGAACCTCCAGCCTTTCAGTTAGTAGCTGAGTGTGTTAGCCATTTGCACCATCCAGTATGTGTGTGCTTACCTCCTTTTGTTGTTGTTATTGTTAGTAGTTGCCATCAAGCTGATCCTGACTTAAGGTGAACCCATTTGTGCACAGTAGAACTGCTTCATAGGGTTTTTAAGGCCCTGACCTTTTGGAAGCAGAATGCCAGGCTTTTCTTTTGAGACATCCTCTGGATGGGTGTGAACCACCAACTTTTGGCTAGTAGTTGAGCATATAACCCTTTGTTTTATTACATGAGTTTATATACACACACACACACATACACACACAACTATGTTCT